ACCGCATGCACCATCTACCTGACAGCGACCACAGGCCGGCCCCAGCCCAAGGGGCAGAGCAGCAGGGAGCCGCAGCCGAGGAGGGCCGGCCCTCACATCAAGAGCCCCGCACCATAGGCCCGGAGACGCCCCAGCACGCCACCTATGCACCCCCCCACACACACAGCACCCCCACCGCAAATGCCACACAGGAAGACCAGCCAGTGCCCGGATGAGGTGAAGCCACGCCCCCAACCGCTGCCCTACACCACCAATGACCACACGTACACTACCATAGCTGACCCCCCGCCGAAAGCCGGCAGCCACCCCGGTCAAAGTGCCGGCCATCGCAACCAGGAACCTAGATTAAAAGAATCGGAACAGCCCAGGAGGAACCGAAGCACCGGCCCCATCACTGAACGCCCCCAAGGCCCAAAGCCCACCCACAGCCCAGACCCCAACAATGCCCCCCCCGCCCCCCCCATCCCAGACCCCTAGTGTCACACGGAGAAAGGAGGTGTTTGTGGGGGAAAAAAAAAAAAATCTATATATGCATAAATAAATTATGAACAGACCCACTTCCTCCTCCTCCCACTCGAATATGGTGTTGATGCATGTTGTTATACAGTGCGTTTAAAATGGGGGGATGAGGTGGTGACCGGCACAGACCCACCTCTTGCCCAGAGAGCAGGCGGTGCCCGTTCATCCCTCATCTCCGCCCAGAACCCTAAATGTCTACATGCTACATATGAGAGTGGGCACAGGTCCGGGGAGGTAGAAATGGTAGTACATCCCACCACCTAAGTGCTCAATTAAAGTTTCTAAATGTGATGGTTTCTATTTTCCATTACTGACCTCTCAGTTGAAGCCTTTTTAAAATCAGACTGGTTTAGTGCACAAACCTGACCAGAATGTTGCCTTGCTTTGTGGAGAACTTTTAGTTTAAATTATGAGTGAAAGTGAAATTAAACGTTAAGTGATTTTACATCAGCTCGCATTTGGGTTCTGTTTTTTTTTTCATTTAACTTTTTATTGGCATTTTGCACATTTATTTACATATAACATGTACATGAACAATTCACATTTAACACTACATACAAAAATAAAACTAAATAAAAACATAAAGAACTTTTGCTTGGGAGCTAATCTTCTAATAGTCCTTTTGTCTTATCCAATTTATCGAGTTCTTAATTTTTTCTCGTTGCCTTTGGTTTTGAATAGTGTCTATTTCTCCCATTTTTCTTCCATTTGTGTTTGCTGTAGTCTCAGGCAATAAGCAAATTTTTCCATTGTATAGATTTTTTCTATTATCCCAATCCCAATTGTTCATGACAAGGGGAGTCACCTTTCCCCATTTCCTCCTAATAGCTTTCTTGCTAGCTATTAACATTATCTTGATCAGATATCTATCCTTTACTCGTACTTTTTCTATAATATTGTTGAAATTGCAAAGGTATAGTACCGTGCTAGAGCTGCTGCCTCTCAGCGAGCAGGTCCTTGGTTCAAACCCCGGTCCAGGGGCCTTTCTGGGTGGAGTTTGCATGTTCTATCTGTGCATGCGTGGGTTTTCTCCGGGTGCTCCAGTTTCCTCCCACAGACCAAAAACATGCATGTTAGGCTGAATGGTAACTCTAAATTGTCCCTAGGTGTGAGTGAGAGAGTGAATGGTTGTTTGTCTCGTTTGTCTCTATGTGGCCCTGTGATGGACTGGAGACCCATCCAGGGTGTACCCCGCCCCTCGCACAGTGATTGCTGGACATGGGCACCAGCGACCCCCGTGACCCAAAATGGAATAAGCGGGTAAAGATAATGGATGGATGGATAGTACCGTGCTGCTCATAGGAATATCCTATCCCAGTGTCTTCTTTATGGTTTCGTGCACAGTTTTCCAAAATTCAAGTATTTTAGGGCAGTTTCAAAATATGTGAGTGGTCTGCGTCCACTGTTCCACAGTTCCACAGTTCCTCCAGCATGTCAAGTCTGTGCTCTTATATCTATTTTTGACTTTAGGCGTGATAAAAAATTGTATCAGATTTTTCCAGGTGAACTCCCTCCATATCCGCGAATTGGTGGATGTCTGTGTGTTTTCCACATACCTTGCCAATCCTCATCTGTAACGGACACATTAAGCGCTGATTACCAATTTTCTTTTATATATTTAGTTGAGTGCTTACTCATCAGTTTTTGGTATAAAATATATATGATTTTAATTGTTGTTCCAATGAAGGAACTTATTATAGTTTGAATTACACCATTCACTTCCACAGAGGGATCCCACCTACCGGTAATTTCTGTCTTATAGTAGTCTCTCAATTGTAGGTATCTATAAAATCCATGCTTTTCTAAATTATACTTGTCTTTTACTTTCTGGAAACTCCCCAGCGCCCCATCTTTCTGTAGGGTGAACCATGCTGTGGCCCCCTTGTTTACCCATTGTTTGAATCATTTATCATATATGGCTGTTTAGGTTTGTTGTGTTTTGTTTTGTATTGCTTCGGAACATATTTTCAGGGAATGGTAAATCATAGCTATGACTGATAACATTAAGATTATGTTGCTGAATGTGAATGGTTTGAATGCATTGATTAAAAAGGAAACGGTAATGGTAAAATTGAAAAAGGAAAAAGCACAAATTATATTCTTACAAGAGATTCATTTATCCAAATCAGAACATGAAAATTTCAAAAAGTACAGCTACAGGAATCTGTACCACAGTTCATATAAAAAGGGGCACAGAAGAGGAGTTGCAATATTGATATCAAATACAATACAGTTTGATTATGAAAAGGAACTCAAAGATAAAGAAGGCATATACATAATATCTTTATTAAAAGGAAGAATAGAAAATGAATTAATTACTCTAGTAAATGTGTACGCACGCCCGAAAAGCAACAAACCACTTGCTCTTGCTGAGGTCGGACACATTTCTCCTCCTCTCCCTCTCTGCTTTGCTTTGCTGCTCTGTCTTGTCTGTGAAACTGCTTCTGAGCCTCTCTCTACAAATCTTCCGAACAATAATTACGGACTTGATTTGATCAGTTGGTCCCTCAACACAATTGATAACATTTCTTCGAAGAGAAGACAGGCTTTAGGAGAGTCGATTTGCCGTTGGCACACACACAGCTGGATATCTCATCGACTTGGAAGACTTGATGACGTGTCTATCTCTGCTACCATTTGTAGATTTTAAGGACACATTTGTAATTGGATTTATGATAACTAGTTCCTGCTCTTTGGATTTGGCTGGTTCCTGGTCTATCAACAATCAAGGAAGTCGTCGGTAGCAAATTTGGACCCGATCATGCTACTTGCCTTTGATGGCTTGGTTCGTGCCTCGAGCACCCAGACTCAAATGTTTTTGGCAGAACGGATCAGATCTCGGGGATTATTCTCAAGCACGGTCCATTGGTGTGGCCATGTAATTTGGACATTTCGGAACCAAGTGGACCAACACAGACTCAAGGTAGATGTCATTAAAATTCTGCCTGCCCCCCAAACAATCGTGTGTTTATCTGAATTTGACTCCTGTGGCTGGCCTAGCAGGCCGTCTTATCTGAATTCGCCTGGAGGACATGTGATCTGACGCTCTGCCCCCACCCCCCACCCCCTTGCCATCAAGGAATTAAAATTGATCAACCTGAGGAAACCAGCTGAATAAACATTGTGTCATCATTTCAGGACTCTTGGATTCCCATAGGCATTGTCCTTGGTCATTCCCTGACATCCCTTGAGAATGTTTATGGATCCCACTGGAGGGAACTGGTTGATTATTTCATCCTTATCAAAACTCTTACAGTGCCCTCGAGAGCATGCTTGGACATGCTCACCACTCTCCTCGTCTCTCCCCCTCTGCGCAATGTCTACGTCACCATATGCTTGTATGTGCGAGGTGTATTTTCAATATTAGAGTTTTTCTTCTCAGCCAAGAATAAAGAGTTTGATAATAATAATAATTAATTAATTTGATAATAGCAGTAGAAACAGAAGGAATTCTAATTTGTGGAGGTGATTTAAATGTAGTTCTGAACCATAGTTTGGATACGAGTCACAAAAAAAAACTAAAATGCATTTAACACATTCAGTTTCTTCATATTTTGTTAACTGGTAACTCCAGGAGGATGCAGGACTTCTTGAAGCAGTTAATGCTGTCCATCTCTGAAGCACCGTGTTATACTGACTGTTAAAGGTCCGTTTCAGGTCTCTCTTGTAAATGAGTCCTCGAGGCTCAGTGGGATCTACCTGTCTAAATAAAGGTTGAATGAAAAAGAAGTTAAGCGACCAGAGAAGTCCTTTTTATTTTCTTGTTTCCATTTATTGAGCAATAACAAAAGACAATTTCCCAAAATATTTCTTATAATATATGACAGAAGATGTAGGTACAACATTATTAGACTTCTGACTGATAGACTCAACCAAAGTATTTGTTGAGAGGAGGTTGTGCGGAAGTAGGCGAAGATGTTGAACCATTGCATGACTTCTGAAGAGTAGTTTCAACTTATGACAACAAAAGTGATTTTGGCACAAATTTCTTTAAAGGAGTTTGTGATCATGGCAAACAGAACAGTCAAAATAGAAAATATTAGCTCAGATTCTGTGTTTTGTGTAGCTGCCATACAGATGTGCCTCTTTATTCTCCCGACTTGTGATTTTTGCTCCTTTTTCAGCACATGCTCATCATCCATGAATGCTAATCAGAGTTCCTTTGAGCCTTCTTTGGCTCTTCATCTTTGCTGCTCCGTCCTGGCCTGGTTAATAATCCATGCTGTGCAGCTGATTTTTCCTGTCAGTTTTCCCCTGCAGAGCTGCAGGAAGCTGTGGCAGGTTCAGGTCTGCGTCTCGACGGAGAGGAGAACGTAAATGAACTGAGTTCCTTGTGCCTCCATTCATCTCCTCTTCTCCTCCTGCAGCAGACGGCTCTCCTCTTGTCCCCATCTCCTGCTTCAGGCTCTTCATGACTGAAGTATGGTGTCTCTGAGAGGGGAGAGCCGGCGGTTTAGACCCGTTCACGAGGAGTCTGGGAGGTCCAGTTCGATTCGGCCCCACCCACGTCATCTTCCTTCCCCGTCCATCTTTCAGCCCCACGTTGCGGAGGCGAGGAAGAGGAGTGGAGGGAGATGTTTGCACTGTCTCCATGGCAACCAGGTGGCCTCTGTCTGAGGTGTGCAGCTTTTTCAGTCGTTCGCTCAAGTGATGAGACTCCTGGTGGTGGGGGTGGAGTTCATGGAAGCAGTCTGACCCGGGGTTTGCCACTCCGTCTGACTGAGTTGTTCTAAGCAGCTGTGTGTGTCGGACCGGCCTGGTCGTGCCGCCGTCTCTGATTGGCTCAGAAGGTAGAGGAAGTTGGCATGGGGCGGAGTCACAAAGCTTTGAAGTCGAGCTTTTGGGAGGGGACAGACGGACGAGTTCCCTCTCTCCAAACACTGACACTAGGACACACACACCACAGATGACGTTTATTAGTTTAAAGTGCATCATACTGTGGCTTCGTCATGAATTCGTAAGTATTTACAGTCATGAGAAATTATTCAAATCTCATTTGAAGTGAACAAAAACAGCAGATTTCACCATGTAATGATTTAACAAAGAGCTAAAACGCAAAACCTGTGAGTGAAAGTATGTGACCACCTCTAAAAAAGCAGGACTTTGGTCTTTTTGCTGCTCTGAAACATACAGGTGTGTTTTAACACAAAGTCAAGATGGAAAGACATCAGCAATAAGCTTAGAGAAACAACTGTAGCTGCCAATCTAGGAAGAGTTTAGACCTTACAAGACCATATGGAATGATTATTCACAAGTAGAAAACATTTAGGACAGCTACCAATCTTCCCAGGATGGATCATATCAGGAAAACACCCCAAGATCAGATTGTGCAATGCTTCGAGAAATCATTGGACACGAAGAGCTACATCTCAGTCTCTGCAGGCCTCAGTTGTGACAGGACAATAAAAAAATAGACTGAATAGGTAAGGCTTGTTAGAAAGAGTTGCACGAATAAACAACCATAAAAGCAACTTCACAGCATTGTGTCCATTTATTGGACAGATGAGACCAAAGAGTTTACTCATAATTCATTATGTTTAGTGAAAACTAGTGGAAGGTTGATGATTTGGGCTTATTTTGCAGTCCATGACCTCATTATCTTGCATTCTTTGAATTGGCCATGAAACCCTCTGTGGGCTGAAGTACTCTGCGGTCAAATGTGAGGATGTCTGTCCAATAACTGAAGCTTGGACCAAACTGGGTCATGAAACCTGAACAATGATCCCAAACACAGCAGCTAATCTACAACAAAACGTTTGACAAAGAATCAAGGGGTTGCAATGGATGAGCTGTGGTGGGACTTTAAGAGAGTTCTGCAGAAACAAATGTCTGCAAACCTTAATAAAATCAAACATCGTAAAGAAGAGTGGGCCAAAATTCCTCTACAACCATAACCATGATAGTCCTACAAAAACTAACTACTTAAGAGTTGTTGCTCTTTTAGGTGGACTAGATTATTTTGTCAACGTATTTTCCGCCGTATAAGTCGCATCAGTCCAAATATGTACTGTATAACAAAGTGGGAAAAAAACACAAGTTGCTTCACCGTATAAGTCGGACCTATTATACTTCACCACTGACCACCCGGAAATGTGGGCCGGTGTTATGCCAAAAATCAATTGGCTGCTAAATGGCGGCGGCAGGAGCGGGCATGGGAGGACTTTAACAAGAACTTAACAAGATTAACACTTAAAAACAATTATTTGTTTGCTCAAAATTATAGGAAAGGTGTGTTTCAGTCTAACTTTTCCTTAATAAATGCACTTTAATGGTCAAATCAGCTGCATTTCAAAAGCCGATTTGCGGAAGCGGGAGTACGCAGAGGGAGGACTAGCTGTGCATTTCTTCACAATTTAACAATATAATCACCTAAAAACAATTATTTGTTTGTTCGACCTTATAGTAAAAGGTGTGTCTCAGTTTAACTTTTCCTTAATAAATTAACTTTGACAGTCAAATCAGCTGCATTTCACCTGGGCAGTGCGGCAAAATGCAGCTGATTTGACGTTTGCTCCAGGAGTTCTGGAGCGAGACGAAGGTTGCTTGGTATGGCAAGCCAAGTGTCTCATTAATAGCCACTTTACCTATTAATGAGACGCTTAGCTTGTCATATTAGTTGCGCGCCCTCTAGCAGCTGAAAATGGTAGTGTTCAATAGTTTCCATGTCAGAATGAATGAAATCGTCAGATCTCAGACAAAAATTGTTTTATAAATATGTGGGAAAAATATAAATAAGTTGCTTAGCTATATAAGTCACAGGCATGCTAATTTATGCAAAAAGGTGCAACTTATAGAGCAAAAATTACAGTAACTCTCTAAATTAGAACTCACCTTCAGGAAACAGCGCCTCCCTGGTGTCTACGGTGATGGCGAACTCCTCATCAGGAGTTTCTTCTTCTGCAGGCAGAGGGACGGGGGAGGACGAGGGAAGGCGTGGTGGTAAAGGGGGGGAGGCAGAGAGCGGAAGATGAGGCAGCGACGGAGATGGGGGCCGGTTCTCATCGTACTCCCTGCGACCCTTCCTGTGAAGGTCCTCAGTCCTCTTCTTGCAGCTCTGACTTCTGCACGTCTGCTGGACCTTCAGAGACCGGAGCTGCTTCGAGCTCTTCTCATTGGTCTGCTCGCTCTGAAAACAGGCAGTGGTCATCAGTAAACACAAGATAGATTTATTTAATTTAAAGAAATAAGACTTAAAATTAAATGTTATACTGTTAGAATGTTTTATTTTTTCTGACTTCTGCTGCTTTGCGAGGACTAAATAACGCAGTGTCTGAAAAATCTGAGCCGTAGACCTTCACCTCAAATTCTTCCTTTTGGCTGCTCCATTTAGGAGCTCTGTCTTACCCTATCTGTCCCACCAACCCTCTGCATCTCCTCCTGCACTGCAGTAGAGGATGACACAGGAGTGGATTTTCACTCCTGTCCTGGTCCCACAGAAAAAAATCCTGTTCTGTCCCTCTCCTGGTAACATGACTGCTCCCATCCTGCTCCCATTCAGAATGATTCCCACTCCTGTATCGCTCCCGTTTTTTCTTTTCTATTCCATTTAGTCTTTAGGAAATTTGTGTTCTGCAGTTTTATTTCGGAAGAAGTGGCAACTGGAGCAGTTCATCTGTGATGAAATAGGCATTTATTGCCTTAATCCAAACAAAAACCTTCACTAAAGGTCACAAAACAAATAATACATGGCCTGTAATCCCTATAAAAAAGGTTTGTAAGCTCATTAATCTAGGTAAATAACAAAAATGGTTAAATCGTGTCATCTGCACCAGTTTCTTTATAAGAAAATGTGAAATGTGTGGTTTCTATAGTTTTTTTTAACGAAGGTTCAACTGCTGAGTCCCTGTTTCTAGCTCTTTTGGAGGTCAGTTACAGTAAAAACAAAAAATAAAAAAGCAATAGTACATGGGTCACACCATGAACCCAAACATAACAAATAAAGTTGCATTTTACTAACTTATTGAGCAATTGTTTCCTTTAAACAGTGACATTACTGTCATCTTTCAAATTGATTAAACAAAACAAAACAAAACAAAAAGTACCAAACAAGAGAACTCGACAAATAAAAATGCTTAAAGATGTTCTTATAAATTGGATGATGTCCTCAAGAAGTTCACAATAGGTGATGAGCTTGTTTCAGCGAAGCAGGATGCCGTGCATAGTACCAGACTTCAGAGAATCATCTACACACTGGAGGTCTGGTATTATTGAAAGAAAACTACAAAATATAGCGGCACCTGTCCAAAGTATTTTTATTTTCATTTTCTTTTTTGTCCTTTTGGTTGGTTCTCGCTCCTGTCTGGTCCTGTTAACTTTTCGTCCTGTCCCATCCCAATCCCGTGAGTTATATTAAAGATGACTCCTGTCCTGCTGGAATCCTGCGGGAATCCCGTGACCTGCAGGACTCCTGAAAAAAATGGCATCGTCTACACTGCAGAAGCAAACCTCCTCTGAGACCTTCACCCCTAAACTGGCATGAGCCGACTGAGTAGTTCAAATTCTTTCTAAAATACAAACTGGATTCCAAAAAAGTTGGGACACTAAACAAATTGTGAATAAAAACTGAATGAAATGATGTGGAGATGGCAAATGTCACTATTTTATTCGTAATATAACATAGATGACAGATCAAAAGTTTAATCTTAGTAAATGTAACATTTTAAAGGAAAAATACGTTGATTCAAAATTTCACAGTGTCAACAAATCCCAAAAAAGTTGGGACAAGTAGCAATAAGTGGCTGGAAAAAGGAATTTGAGCATATAACGAACAGCTGGAAGATCAATTAACACTAATTAGATCAATTGACAACATGATTGGGTATAAAAAGAGCTTCTCAGAGTGTCAGTGTCTCTCAGAAGCCAAGATGGTAAAAGGATCACCAATTCCACCATTGTTGCGCAGAAAGATAGTGCAGCAATACCAGAATGGTGTTACCCAGCGTAAAATAGCAAAGACTTTTAAGTTATCATCATCAACCGTGCATAACATCATCAAAAGATTCAGAGAATCTGGAACAATCGCTGTGCGTAAGGGTCAAGGCCATAAAACTCTACTGGATGCTCGTGATCTCCGGGCCCTTAAACGGCACTGCACCTCAAACAGGAATGCCACTGTCAAGGAAATAACAGAATGGGCTCAGGAATACTTCCAGAAAGCATTGTCAGTGAACACAATCCACCATGCCATCCGCCGTTGCCAGCTGAAACTCTACAGTGCAAAGAGGAAGCCATTTCTAAGCAAGCTCCATAAGCTCAGACATTTGCACTGGACCAGGGGTCATTTAAAATGGAGTGTGGCAAAATGGAAGACTGTTCTGTGGTCAGATGAGTCACGATTTGAAGTTCTTTATGGAACACTGGGACGCCATGTCATCCGGACCAGAGAGGACAAGGATAGCCCAAGTTGTTATCAACGCTCCGTTCAGAAGCCTGCATCACTGATGGTATGGGGTTGCATGAGCGCTTGTGGCATGGGCAGCTTGCATGTCTGGAAAGGCACCATTAATGCAGAGAACTATGTTCAGGTTCTAGAACAACATGTGCTCCCATCTAGACATCATCTCTTTCAGGGAAGAACCTGCATTTTTCAACACGATAATGCCAGACCACATTCTGCAGCAATCACAACATCATGGCTACGTAGGAGAAGGATCCGGGTACTGAAATGGCCAGCCTGCAGTCCAGATCTTTCACCTATAGAGAACATTTGGTGCATCATAAAGAGGAAGGTGCGACAAAGAAGGCCCAAGACAATTGAACAGTTAGAGGCCTGTATTAGAAATGAATGGGAGAGCATTCCTATTTCTAAACTTGAGAAACTGGTCTCCTCTGTCCCCAGACATCTGTTGAGTGTTGTAAGAAGAAGGGGGGATGCCACACAGTGGAAAAAATGGACTTGTCCCAACTTTTTTGGGAGTTGTTGATGCCATGAAATTTGGAAACAACAGATTTTTCCCTTAAAATGATACATTCTCTCAGTTTAAACTTTTGATCTGTGATTTGTGTTCTATTCTGAATAAAATATTAGATGTTGGCACCTCCACATCATTGCATTCAGTTTTTATTCACAATTTGTTTAGTGTACCAACTTTTTTGGAATCCGGTTTGTACTTCCAATATTCAGGTTTGATCATTCCACTGAAACACTTTTAGCTATACTAAGATAAACCACCACAATGGTTTAGCACAAAAAAAGCTCTATTTTGGTGTGGATCTATCACCTATAGATTGTGTCTTGACAAAGATGGTGGCCGTTTTCAACATTAGCTTTTGTAAAATGAGCTAAACACAGCCTAAAGCTCTTTAAATGTGTTGTGGTATACATATTTTTCTCATTTGTTACCGATCGTAGTTCTGACATTGGGTTCACCTGCTGAGTCTTTGGTTCTGTGTTGTTTCTGTCCCTCCTTGTGTTCTTGTTGGGGAGACTCCAGTCGTTCTCCAGCTTCTACGAGAATCAATCACAGATGTTGTAAAAACTTTAAAGGCTACAGAAAAGCTAATACTGTAAATCAAAAATTTAAAGCAGTAGAATGACATAAAAAATTACTTTTATAGCCAAGTCAGGTCCCAACATTTGAAAATATCTCAGTGAAGGTTTGGAAAAGTGTTTGTGGGTTTTTTGTTGTTGTTTTTGTTCAGAGTTGAAGAAATCCAGAGTCTTCATCTTTATCTCATATTTCAGTGTATGATGATTGTTCAGTGTTGAACCCAGGTGCAGGCAGAAACTCAAAAAAGCTCTGGGGTTCAAAACTGAAAAGTGAATTTCTTGGAAAATATGAAAACAAAAGCTGACGTGGCAGCAAAACACTTCACAACGGGAAAGAAAAAGCTCTGGACCAAACATAACAGCTTGACAACAGAACACACAGCAGATGAGGAAAAACGACACAAGCTTTAAATGGAAACTAATGAGGGAGAAATGACAACACCTGGGGAGAGACGATGATCAGGTGAGGGGGAAGGAGCTGAACTACAGTACATGAGAGGACAAACACTCAGGAAACTGGAACACAAGTAAAATGAGATACATGAATGACAGAAATAATCAAAAATAACCCAAAAGACACAAATCATGAACAATGGAAGACAAAAGGTTGTTGCTCCTGCATTGTTTTTACAGCAGATTCTGATCAGAAACTATTTATCTTGACAAACACGAGAAGAAAGTGAGTTCAATCCAAGAATGTTCATTCAGGTCATCTGGACGGCTTCTTTTTTTTACTGAGACGTTTCGTCTTTCAGCCACAGACAGGACTTCTTCAGGACTTCTCAAACTAAAGACCTGATGACCTGACAGAACATTGTTGGACTTGTACCTGGATTATTGAGCATGAACTTTGGTGAGTTCATTTCAATTCAGTTAATTTATATAGCACCAAGTCCCAACAGAAGTCGTCTCAGGGCACTGAACAGAAACATTCATATACATTATAACAGTCAATTAGTAAAAGTTATCCATCTAAAGAAGCCAGCAGATTGCTTTGAATCTTCACTTTGTTGCAGTCTCCCTTCCTGAGCAAGCACTTTGGCAACAGTGGAAAGGAAAAACTCCCTTTTAACAGGAAGAAACCTCCAGCAGAACCAGGCTCAGGACAAGCAGCCGGCCATCTGCTTTGACCTTTATCTGTCACTTAATAGACAATTCTGTCCAAAAATTGTTGATACGGGCAGCATTTTTTAAACATAAACCTCTATAAAAATGAACCCATGAGAAGATTGACTGAATTTATATATATACTGTATGTGGGGAGTGGTGGTGCAGAGGTTAGAGAAGGTGGGCCTGTGATCGTAAGATCGCTGGTTCAAGCCCCGGTACCGCCAACATCAAAAATGTGGGTGGAATAGGTGAAGCACCCACACCTGCCCCCACCCTCATTCGTCCCACTCTAGGCCCTTGAGCAAGGCCCTTAACCCCCACCATCTGCTCCTTCGGGTGCCCTAGATATCAGCTCTCTGCTCCACACAGAGGCCTGTCGTAGCTCGGTTGTCTGTGGTTGTGTCAGGAAAGGCTTCCGGCGTAAAAATAATTGCCAAGTCTTCGTGTGACTTAGTTCGCTGTGGCGACCCCTAACGCAGGGAGCAGCCAAAAAAAAAAAAAAAAAAAAAAAAAAAAAAATATATATATATATATATATATACAACCTAGCTCCATTTTATATTACAGATCTTACTGTTCCATATTTTCCTAACAGAGCACTTCGCTCTCAAGCTGCAGGCTTACTTTTGATTCTTTACAAAAACAGAATGGGAGGCAGATCTTTCAGTTATCAGGCTCCTCTCTTGTGGAACCAACTTCCAATCTCTGTCCATGAGGCTGACACATTGTCCAGTTTTAAAACTCGGCTTAAGACTTTCCTTTTTGATAAATCCTATTGTTAGGGTTGGCTTGAGTTTCCTGAGCTGTCCCTGTTTAGTCCGCTTTAATCGAACTCTAGCTCGTTTTCCTAGAAAGTCCGGCTCGTTTAGGGAGGTGTGAACGCACCATCGAACTCTGTCATGGAACAAAAAGGCGAACTCTGGCCCGGGCTAAAACCTAGGTCTTGGTCCGGTAGAAGCGAACTCCAGCGTGGTTCGAGTGCAGTGTGAATGTAAACAGACCAGGCACCCGCTCCACAGGACAAACAAACACCATTTCTCTGACCTTATATGGAGCCGTCAGCTGTCTTGTGTGAAAAACAATATTCTCCATGGTCTTCTGTCTCATCTTCTGCTCATGCTAAGTCCATTTTTGAAAAATGACAAAATATAACTCCTAAAACTGCTAAAACTTGATGCCACTTCGTTTTTATTTTTATTTACAGAAGAAGAAGAAGACGTGTCTTCAGAGGTTTTTGTGTCGTTTCTTTCAGTAGTTCTTGGTGCAGCGCCCCCACAGGCGAGCGGGGGAATAGGTTGGTTCAACAGGTTGACTCGACTGCACAGTGTAGTGTGAATGCAAACGCACCAGCTCAAATGTAAACAAAAGCTCATGAATATTGGTCCCGAACTGAACCGAGTCTACCGGACTATCTGGTGTGAAAACGACCTTAGTTATGCTGCTATAGGCTTAGGGTATATTCACACTAGCCCCGTTTAGTACGCTTTAATCGAACTCCAGCTCGTTTTCCTAGAAAGTCCGGATAGTTTAGGGAGGTGTGAACGCGCCATCGAACTCTGTCACGGAACAAAAAGGCGAACTCTGGCCCGGGCTAAAACCTAGGTCTCGGTCCGTTAGAAGAGAACTCCAGCGCGGTTCGAGTGCAGTGTGAATGTAAACAGACCGAGCCCCGCTCCGCAGGACAAACAAACACGCATTGCTCTGACCTTATATGGAGCCGTCAGCTGCCTTGTGTGGAAAAACAATATTCTCCATGTTCTTCTGTCTCATCTTCTGCTCATGCTAAGTCCATTTTTGAAAAATGACAAAATATAACTCCTAAAACTGCTAAAACTTGATGCCACTTCATTTTTATTTTTATTTACAGAAGAAGAAGAAGACGTGTCTTCAGAGGTTTTTGTGTCGTTTCTTTCAGTAGTTCTTGGTGCAGCGCCCCCACAGGTGAGCGGGGGAATAGGTTGGTTCAACAGGTTGACTCGACTGCACAGTGCAGTTGTAGTGAACTAAGCTGAGGTCAAAACCTTGACCTAAAGACCATATGGGACATAACTTGTCATTTCATTGATTTGCATCCAGAAATACAGGTTGACCCATCCTGAGACTTTCTTTCTTGAATCAATCAAGTAAAAAAGGACTATTCTCTATGATCATTACTATTTTACAAATGTTTTGATAATCAAATTGTGTTAGTTCAAACAATGTTTACATGTTGAAGTGAACTACTCATTTTTAAATCAACTGTGAAACAGTATAATGATTGTTAATCCTCATTCAAAGAAGAAATCAAGTTAATATGCATTTCTTGATTTTCTGTCTTCAATGAGCGAAGTTGTAAGTGTGTCGAAGTTCAAGTTTCGGTCAACTGAAAGTTTACTGAAAAGAAATGTCATGTTTAATTTTTACAGCAAGATACTGGGAGAAGGGACTCCACGAAGTCTGGTTTCTTCGTAATATCTCTTTGTCTGTTCTTAAACAATCTTAATCTTTTCCTTGACTTTTCATAACACCTTACATCACAAAACACACCTCTGTTTTGGTCCATCGGCCAATCAGAAACTCCCAAATGAACCGGAAATAGAGCCCTTTAAATGTTGGTACTTCCTAGTTCAACCCAAGTTGCCGTTGGAGTCGAGTGGAGAGTTTGCAGCTCCACTCGTTTGGGAGGACAGAAGTCCAGCCATGATTTAAGGCTCTTCCGAGTATTGGGATTATAACATCTTCCACCTCTGAGTGGAACTCTGACGAACCCCACTCATGTGAAGTCCACTCGTTGAGGTGAACTGTTGTTGACGAAGTCCCGTCACCACTCCGGATATATCTCTGCCATCTTACGGAGACGCTGGAACGGTAGCGTTAACTGGAGCTCCTCTTCCGCTGATTCATCGTCAGAGAGGTAATGAGTCTAGTCCACTACTGAGCGTACCGAGGAAAGCTGGGTCGGATGGAGGGTGTCGTTCTGTCAACACTTTTCACTCATACACACACCATCTCCCTTCCTCTAAACTTCATCTTTAAAATTCTTCTATCTGCTAAAAATCATTACAGATATTTTTAGAAATGTCTGAAGCAAAGTTTTCAATCACCGCCGTGTGATTTGATGTCTGCTGTTCTGCTGAAAGTGAGGAAACAATCGCCGTATTGTTCTCACTCCTGTAAAACTGATTAAGAAGCTGTCGTTATTTTCAATTATTGCCAATTAATGTAAATGTGTGATGTGTTAAACTTGATTCTGTTAATAAATGACCCACTCGTTTGGTGAGTCAAAGATAAACGTCTCACGTCCACATTTTATTAAATTCAATGCACGCATGTTATACAGTCCAGAAAAATGAAAGAACCCGTTTAACAGTATGAATATATCTCATCCGTATGTCATACTACACAGTGTGAATGCAAACGCACCAGCTCAAATGTAACAAAAGTTCATGAATATTGGTCCCGAAACGAACAGAGTCTACCGGACTATCTGGTGTGAAAACTACCTTAACTGGCCACACTTTTTCACTCTACTACTGTCTTTACTTACTCTGCTCAACCTGTTTTGTATTTGTAATTATCTTTTCTATCCTTAACATGTGTTTTTTTGTATTTCAGGTACACCTGGACCTATACCTGGACCTACCATTCTGTCTTCGTCTGTCTCTTCTTCCTGTCCTCTCAAACCAGCCGTTCAAAGCAGATGGCTGCTTGTACTGAGCCTGGTTCTGCTGGAGGTTTCTTCCTTTTAAAAGGGAGTTTTTCCTTTCCACTGTTGCCACTGTGCTTGTTCAGGATGGGAGACTGCAATGAAGCCAAGATTCAACTTGTCTGCTGGATTCATTAGATAGAGAACTTTACTTTTATGTATGTGAATGTTCCTGTAAGGTGCCCTGAGACAACTTTGTTGTGATTTGGCGCTATAAAAATAAACTGAATTGAAT